GTGCGTGTGATGGTTCTTTATGATTTAATAAATAAACGACACCAACCTGATTGCGGGATTAAAAAAAAAAAAAAAAATAATAATAAGTTATGCAATTGATTGAATTTTATATGAAAAAATTTTTAAATCAGAATATCTGGAAATTTTCAAGTCTTTGATTCATTTTATTAACTATTATATTAAAATTTGATATTTGATATTTAATATTATTAAATAAAAATTTATTGGATTATATTAAAATTGATCAACATTTGACAATTCAAAATTATATAATATATTCTGTTAATGAGATGACCTTTACCACTTTATATTACAATAAAAAATTTTTTTATCATTTTATAAATTTAAAATCATAGTTCTTTCTGAAAACATTTTAAATTTTTAAACATTCTTTCAATTGAAATTTTATTGGCCTTGACTGTATACTATCGATAACTGATTGACACTAAATATTACCACGGCAAAGTTTACTTGAAATTTGTTAAATTCTCTATTCATAAGCATGATAAACACACGTGACAATGACAATAAAAAAAAAAAAGGTTTAATCTTTCTTTTCCCTTTGATCTCGTTTCTCATAGATCATCGAAGTAAATGGTCTAAGATGTGAATTTAAATACAATAATTTAATAATTAGATAATAATTACTTAAAGTTACAACGCAGACATGATTGATATTAAGTACACACCCTTCATATTCAAGCGCAATCAAGTAAAGTAGAAAAACCCAAATAGTTAAGATAATTCCAGCAGGACTCGCATACCTATTATGACATAACAATATTTTAAATTGATTATCTAAATCAATAAATTTCCATGTAAAATATAACTTACCACAATGCAGTAGACAAAAATACCATCGAAGAACCGTAATACATTGGATTATCGAGTACGTTAAATGGAAAAGAAGTCACACGATCGTTCATCAAAATCCCAAAATAATCGCCTAAAATAAACAACATCCTTGTAAATGAAAAACGAGAATCGAAACTCTTATAGCCGTGATAAACTTATTTATCCGTAGGCTTGTTACTATTTTAATACATACCGAGGTATGTTCCAGTTATACCTAGTGCATACATTGAAGATAATACGAAAATATTACCGAAGATAAATAATATCGCTGATATTACTTTGATGTAATCGTGCTGTAACAAAGTCAAGCTCGGTTGATTTTCAATTGCCTGTTTGTATCTGTCGATTTATTATATCATTATTATTTGTTATTAAAAACACTTTCTAACATTAACATGTCGCTTTACTTACAAATAATCTCTAAAAATTCCAAGAGAAAAAATAGTGACGGCCAACGCGTAACACCCGTAATAAGAGTTACCGAAAGTGCGAGTTATAAAATGCGTATTATATTCTTTTTTGGTAATGCAATTCGTAAGAATAATTGCATCATAAAGTACACACGTTTCGAAAAAAAAACAAATTACCTTTTCTTGCTACATAATTCCAAAATAATGGATTAAAAGCAATTGAGGCCAAAGAAATCCAGAATGATTTTTGTGAAAAATCAATAGCATCTAATATTTCAGATGTCATTTTTTTTTTTTTTTGGCGACAAATTAAGTAGGCACGTTTTATAGAATTTGTGCATGTCACGCGTTTTAAGGGGTTGTTTGCACATTTACTCATTTAAAATGTTCTATTTATAGTACAGTACAGTCGACCCCTGTCTATAATTAATTACACCCATTAGAGTTGACTATATATACAGTACATACTGTATTGAATTTAAACAAATTCCTATACAAATTGAAAAATGAATTATGTTAGAATTTAGCAAATCTGTATTATGACCTGTAATAATTATAATAATAACATTATTATTATTATTAAAATAACTAAATAAAAATTTTCGTATAATATTAATAAGCAATAACAAGGAACACAGCGAAGATAAACGGTGAAATATATAATGTATTTTATTTTGATTCGAAAAATAATTTCTACCAAAGTATCAGATTATCACTTGTACTGTAGAAAATAAAAATTGGTAAAAAACTTTTCAATTATTTCTGAATAAATTTTACAATTACAAAGTTTGATAATACTCAAGTCTAACTAGATCACAATCACAAGCATAAATTATGAATTATTAAATAAATTAGAACTTAAATTCGACGTTTATAGACCAAATATTTGTTCCAAATATCGATGATTGAACTCTTCCGTAAAAAAATTTAAGTTATTACATCCTTGCATATATACCATGAATTATTAATGAGTACACTTCTTTCCTATAGATGTATTAAATTCCTTGGACGACACGAGGCCATCTTTGACGGAATTTTTCGAACAGCTGGGGCTTTGTCCGTGCCAAGGCGCCAGGGTCTTCAGCAAGAGCCACAAATGTAGTCGTAATTCCCGAATCAATAGCGTCAGTTACAACAATCTAATTAAAAAATAGCATTTCAAAGATTGAAATTAAACGCATATTAATAGTTTCCAATATAAGGATTAAATTACTTACCGCCATTGTCAATCCAAGCAAAAAACAAACCACAACAAATAAAAACACTTCAAGGCCGTTGTCTTCAAAGGGAAGATGAAGTAATTTTATATATCCGAATGCAAATAATCCACAGATAACGCCGATCAAAATAGAGCCCATCACCAAAACGTTCCCAACGAGATTATCATTGATAATGGCTTCAACACCACGATCTTTTATTAAAGCCCAAGTATCTTTAGCGGCTCTGAGATATGATTTACCATAGATGGCAACTATTATTGGATACAAATCATTTGTTAAACAATAGTAATAAATATAAAAGAAAACGTAGACGCAGTTTACCTTCCACATATGCATAATGATTAAAGTATTCTACTAAGGACTCAATCCATGCTAACAAACAAGCGAAACAGGCAGCACAAAATCCACAAATTCCTTCATCATTGCTCGCAACGATGCGAAATATTGCTTTTATAGTATCAAGCAACGCAAGAATTAAGCTTCCAAAACAAATGCTTCCAAAGGATGTAGTACATGCACGCTTAAGTGAGCTAATAGAAGGAGTAGAACCAGTTCCCTGTGGAGTGCCCTCAAGGAAATAATATGCTGCATAAACACCAGAATTGGTAACGTGTACTATAGTTCTAATAACTTGACTAGTCCAGTAAAAACTGAATAACATATATATCATTACAATATAAAGTGGAGTGAGATTTTGACACGTCGTTTGACCATTTATAGTGCTACAGTTTGCTTTATCATAAAAAACTCGATATCTAAAAATGAGTAATATTTTGTTAATATCTAATACACATATGTTTGATAATAATTCGCAATGAATAAATTCTATACTTACGTTCCAACCAAGCTCATTACCCATAAGATAAGCCATCCCACCTGTAATACTAGTCCTACGAAACCCATTACAATTGTGCCATAATACTTTTTTGTTATGCTCGCTACCGTTTCCAACATGACAGCTGCAAAAGGAATTCGATCACGCCAAGAAAAGGCACATATCAAATATATTAACCCAAAAATTCCAAATATAATTGTCTAAAAATGTTCGAACTTTATGTTAATATGATATTGATATAATTGAAGGGGATAGGTAATAACATACCAATGTATATTGTTTGTAATAGGCATACACTGCAGCGGTAATAAAATAAATGGCGATCGAAAGATACAAAGTTACAGTAATAAGCGGTTTTGGAAACCGTTGCATTAGAAGCATATATATAAGACTTAGAATAAATCCCATAAATATAACGATCGCAAGTAACGCTATAGCCTTAGAATCCAAATGAAGATTAGAAATACTGGAATCTAGTTCCTTTTTGCTTATTAACTCTTTAAGCCCTATATAGCTAAAAACCCCAAAAGCGACCAAATGAACAAGAAATAATATTACGGCCCATAAATCTACGCATAAATGCAGTATAATTTTAGAATTCGTTTGTAACCTTATTTGTGTAGTCATTTTTCCTCATTCTATAAAAATATATACCTTGATACGAAGGTTTTGTATTCCATTTTTCTGCCACTACACTATGAACGGGCCCTTGATTATAAGGATTTTGAGCGTAGGGATTAGCGTAGGGATTAGCATATTCGGCATCTTGAACTTGAGTGTAGGTAGGAGGATAAAACTGTTGTGGTGGATAATGCTGACTCATTTCTATGAATCTATGAATAACTACGTCCTTTTTGATCCTTAACAAATACAATTATGGCTGTTTAAAAGGCTTATTTAAAGAAACAAGTTTTGGGAGTAAGCCACATGACTAATTATTTGTTTTTAGTTACGGTAACTTAATTTGCAATGAATGAATAAGGTTATTTAAAAATCATACTATATATAAAAATATTTATATTTATATTTATATAAAAATATATATATATATTTTTTTTTAAGGCTAAGTTGCGATACACGCATGGATTTTATTTATATAAAAATATTTAAAAAGACTATATATAAATCTTGATATTAGTTGGTACTATTGCATTAAAAAATAAATTTTTAATTAAAAAATATATTTATAATTAAATATTTATTATTTGTTT